TGGTCTTTTTGCTTCGTTCAACGGTAAGTCCTAGCTTCTGCAAACTTGCACTTTATTATACTAAAATTTAAAAAAACTACGAACTCAAAAAAATTCTAAAAAGTTTGATTAAACGGTTTCAAATTTTGATGATTTTTGTTAAAATTCGTCGAATTTCCATAAATGTTCTACAAAGTTTGAACTTTTGATTTACGAGTCTTTTTAGGTAGTAATAGTAAGCTATGTTTTCATAAAAAAAAAAATAAACAAAGAAAAATAGCCAAAACTTGCTAAGATGTATCTTCCCTACTTAAATTCTCGACACCGTAGATCATATAAACGAAACATGAGAAGAAGTGCGGAAAAAGTAAAAATACTCTAGTTTGGAAACTTGTTTGAGACTTTGATTTATGTGGTTTTTTAAAGCTAAGACAATCTGCCTTATCCTGAATTTCGCCCGAAAAAAAAATCACCCGAAAATTTTGATTCCGCCCATAGTAAATACATGGAAACCAATAGTGAAAAGTGAACCGGTTCGGAGAAAATGAAACTCATAATAAGGCCGAATACTTTTTATAGAAAATAACAACAAAAAATTACTTGAAAAACGTCATATATAGATATACAGCCTATCTCACGTAGACCCTTCGGCAATATATCGTCGTTTAAAGTACAAAACCGCGTATCGTGGTTCTGCAAAACCACATTTGTGCCAAAAAAGATATTTCCTCACCGGAAGCTTCTGGCATCAAGCCCTTATCCATTCATACTAAAATATCGGTACTTAGATATAAGAAGAAGAGATAATTAGGGATAAAAAAGAGAACGTTTTGTACTTTAAACGACGATATGAACCGTTGTTAAACGGGTGGGCCACCCTAATATAGTACCTTTTTTTAATCAAAAAATTTAGCAGAAGCTTTAAGATATATGTATTTATGCTTTCCGACGAATATTTTAATAGCGTTTTCGTTTCTACAAAAAGTGTTGCCTGTACATACATATATATGTATGTATGTATGTATGTACCTACTCCATTTCGTTCAATTGATGTTTATCAGCTTACAATGGGCAATAAACTCGAATCGAGCCGAATGAAAGTCACGCGAAAACTGCTTCCTTAACTTAATAAAATCCTTATCCAATTTAATATATCTAATTCTAATTGACAAAGCTTTGATTGCTCTTGATACACATACATGCATATGTACAATAGCCAAAATCGTAAAACTACCCTGCAGTAAAATTTAGAAACAGTCTGGCAACCGCACTACTTCCGGGCAACATATTTGAGAACTATCTCTGAACTGGTGCAAAACGGCTGCAGAGCGGGACAGTGGTTGTTGTTATTGTAACAGCATACAAATTGCCCAAAAATTTTTGGGTAGTGTTGCTGGAGTGACAGTCCTTGGCCAGATATAAATCTGGGTCGTCCCGATTACGTAGACACGACGGTTGTTGGAACGGGACAACGAGACAGTTGAAACTTGCGGTGTAAGCAGAGAACATATCGATGGCTGAGTGGAAGATCGACCTATCTCGGCAGCCAGTTCGAAAACGCTCTATCTCAAAAAACTTTTCAAGAACGCATATTTTCAATACATTTTGAAGTGAGATAGGGCGGTTTTGAACCGAATTTTGAGATTTGTGTTTTTCAATTAAATTCTGAAATGGGGCGTTCTTGAAAAGTTTTTGGAGATAGAGCGTTTTCGAACAGGCTGCCGAGATGGTAGATCTTCCACTCAGCCATCGATATATAAGAACGAGAAGGTGCAAACGACTCAGTGGAAATCATTGTGGTATAGAATTTTTATTTTCTGAAATGTTTCTAGTAGGGAATTACACAGAGGCATTTGAAACGCAAAGATTTTGTTAAATTCCGGGGTAGAAGCACAGAAGTAAATGTTTAGCAACAGATATGTGTTTTGCCAGCAACATCTGGCAACATGTTTGTTTAAAGAAGTTGCAGGCTGAAAATTTGCTGAATAAAATTGAATTTTTTTTTTGGTAAATTTTTTTTTATATAATTACATTAATAATCTAGTAAAATTAGTAATAAATGTGTAAGACATGGGGCACACAAGAAGCAAATAAGATTATAAAAAGAAAAATTTTGGTACTAACACTTTACAATTTTTAGTGAAGGTTTTTAGCCGTTTAGGCATTAAATGTTGGTTAGTGGTTAGGGCCTTTGTGAATTAAATTTTATTCTGTTAATTTTCTTAAATTCTCGGTTTATGCTCTATGCGAAAACAGTCTTTTATTTTTTACATAAAGTATGTATGAAATCTTTGTACATACAAATTAAATTAAATTACATCAGAAACTATTCATTTGTTCAAAATTTTTTAAGCAACTATTTCGGACCATGGAATATTTGCACCTAAATACCAAGGCATACCACTTCTGTAAGCTTTTAGAATAAGTTTTTAGAATATGCTGTTCTTCCAGCATACGAGCAATAAGTAGTTAAATACATGTAATTACCTATTTATATATATATGTACATAAATCAGTTGAACTATACCAATAAATATGTATATATACATGTACCTTAATTCACAAAGACCGTAGGCAACATTTTTTTCGTTCGTTTCGTTTTTTTTTTAAAGTGTACCAAAAGCAACGGAGTTACATGTCACAATCTTTAAAAAGCCCCACCTGTTTTTGATACTATTTTTATGTTTTTTGCTTCTAATGTAAAATTAAAAGTTTGTTGGTTAGTAGGGCCTTTGTGAATTAAGGTGGCGATATGTATGTATGTTTAATTTGCTTTAGAATTGATTTTCATTAATATAATTGGAAACTGATGTGTTTTTAAAATTATCAGTTTTTCAAAACTATTTGTCTTTTTGAGCTTGCTAATTGAAAATTGGCACGCCATTCACACTTGGGCATGTTGGGTTTTGTTTTTGTTTTCTCAGGATACTCGTGTGTTACTTTAGATAACATACAATAACAATAAAAAAGACAACAAAAGAGAACAAAATTGACAACATAAGGTGTGGTACTAAGGTAAAATAACATATATGTAATTGCCTTACTTGCAGCTTTCTTAGACTTGTAAAATTTTAAAGGTAAAGGTGACCTCTAGACTATAATGGGCGCCAGCAATTTTCTTAGAAAATATATGTATGTATGTAGATACTATACTTACTCATGATTGTAAATTGGGTTTTATGCAAAATAATGTTGAAAAATATGACGAATAATTTACATATCGCTAGCTTAGAGTGAAAAGCTGCTAAGTCCCGTTTAAAAACTTTACAAAGTATTTAGCAAAACTTTGAATACAACGTTTTGCCTGTTCAAAGAAAAGAAAAACTCCATACAAAACAGATGGATTCGTTGTTTATTAAAAGATTGCGTACTATTTTCGTTTTATCGGATTTTCGGTGCTTCTTTTGGACTTTCTTTTTATGAAATATAAAGAGTATAAATAAAACAATCCTTTTCGAAACAATGCATTTTAAATTTATCTAGCCTCCTGTATCAAAATATGAGTTTTCATAAAAAGTGGACTTAGCACCTTTTCACTCTCTAAGCTATCGATATGTACATATATGTTATGTATATGTATATTTAACCAATATCGTTTATTTATAAAAAAAAAAAATCAAGTTTTAAATGCTTTACAGTGGATGTTTCCCACTGTTAAATATTATCAAGAGTTCATTGAACTTTCTCATCTAAAACATTTTTTTGAGTGCAACATTACAGCAATAAGTACATACTACATATGTTTTCTCAAACTATTCGAAACGAAAAAAAAAAACTTAAATATATTTCAAAAATGGTTAACATTTTCAATACATATGTCTGCATGTATGCAAAATATCCTAAACATCAACGCAAAAGTCCTTATTTGACAAATTTCAAATTTCACGGAGGAAGTAAACGAGTATTTTTTGAGATATGACTTGGAAATTTTGCTCTTATCGTGTATCTGCGATAGTGTTGGCACTAATCGATTGATTTTTTAATCTATTAGTTAATTCGATTAACTTAAATCCGATTACAGTTAATCATGATTAATTTAAATCTGATTAAACATTTTATTGTAGCCGCGACTAAAAAATAATAATTTTTAATCATTAACCCTTAATTTGGTTAAGTGGGTTTGATGATGAATTAATTTATGCTGGAAACGTCCTGTGCACACAAGGCCAGTTAATTGGGTATGGCTAAGTGGGTTTTTGTTATCAATTTAAGCAATTTGGTGTGCATTTTCATTAAGATCTATTACCAACAGACGTTATGGTTTTAATATCCCTCTATAAATGTGCGAAGGGTTTTAAAAATTCCCAGTTTATCTAATAGTAATCATTATATATATTTTTTTTTATATACTATGTGATTTTTATAAGCGTGAAGCACAAAAGAATAACTATAACTGGTGTTTAGTCTCAAATTCGAGCAAACTGGACCACTTAATCAGATTTTTTTTTATTGGATTAACAATTAATGAATAAAATTAATTAAACATAATCACAACCGAAGATTAACGATTAAAAATTTAATCAATCGTACAGATTATTATTATTAATTAATTTTTATCCTTAATCGCGATTAACATTTGAATCGTTAATTTTTAATTGTTAATCAGATTAACATTTTGCCAACACTGATCTGAGAGCCGTCTACGAAAATTTAAAATCCCGCATTTCTAAAGGGTTGATATACATTATTATCATTGCTGATGGGTCTTTAATAGTTTTTATATAAAATTGTCATCCTTTTCATCAGAAATAACCATAATTATTTCAAATCGTGCGATGTACAGAACATGCCTGATAGTATTTTTTTGCATTGGTGATGAGCATACACAAAACTACTCAAATAAATATGCGAAATACATTAGAAATCAATCGGGAGTAGTTTTACATTAAAATTAAAATTTCCACCTTTGTCATGAACCGAGTCGGTTCTTAGTCAAAAAATTCGTATGTATGTATCTACGCTATTGCATAACTATTATAAAAACACTTTGTATTTATGCTCGCGTTGTTATTTAATTTTGCAAAGTTTCAATTGCATATATGGATTTTTTTGTTTTATATGATTGAAATTAATGTCCGCTATCTTACAAACAGGAAAGGAAAGTATCTTCAATACATCCATATGTATGTATGTATTTATGTCAAATGTTCTTTGTATGAAATGTTATTAATACGAGTATGCCAGGACAATCACATCCTATTGACTGTTATTATTCATTTTTTATGCTGGGATGCTTTTAAGTTCTGCCTGAAAAACTAAACAGCTGATTTCCTTCTTGAGCTGCACTTGTTCGCAATACGGTAGCTTCTTAACAGTTTTAGACATACTAAAGAAAAATAAATCGATGTCATCACTTTTATCCCATTCCACAGACGGTATTGATCGCTTGTATTTCTTTAGAGAACTTCTTACAAGCAGTGGATTTTTATCGTTTTTTGATTTTTCAGGGACTGAAAAAAACGAGATGTTCTCATCCAAATTTACTGTCTGGTCATTATCAATAGTCTGGTTATCATCCTTATGGTCGCCTTCACTTTGTGTTTCGATATCGGTATTATTGCTCTGGGAGTCGGAACCACTTTGCGAACTTGTTGCACTCTTTCGCGACATCGCATCTTTTATTTTCCATTTTTTTTCTGAATTTTCGGCGCTGTCTTTTGTATCTGAAAAATATTTTCTTATTAGATAAATCTGGTACATGCATACATATCTACAAATCTAGTCGAAGGTTAAGCTCACTTTTTATGTAGAGGGCCCAGTATGTTATGCTTCTCGGAGTACATCACAGCATCCGCCACTACTAATATTGGGACATAAATATAAGCCCTCGATATGTACATGCATACATACATACTCCGAGAACCATAACATACTGGGCACTCTGCATAAAAAGTGAGCTTAATCTCCGACTCGATTTTCAATAAAAATTCTTCAGCTTGAGCTCACTTCATTAGTACAAAAACCGAGTCTGAGCTTAAGCTAACTTTTTATGCATGAGGCACATTGTTAAGGCGCCTGATATTTTAACCCATCTGTAAGTTAATTGTCAACCAAGGGTATTTTTAACTTTGAAATGTAACAGTAAATTTTACCTGGAAGCGATATATCAGTGGTCATAAGCAATGACTGCAGAAGTCGAAAACCTGAATTCGAGTAAAAACGTTTTAAACATTTGGGTTGAAATGTTAACCTTATGGGGAAACCAAAAAATGTTCGCCTATAGCTTTTTAAATAGCCTAGCTGGTGAGATGGGGATTTAACATACACATGGAATAGTAGTTGAAGAATAGGATAGCTTATTATATATAATTCTTTCTTAAGTCGACTTAGGCTTGGTTATGCTTATGACCACAGATATACATATACATAGACGACATTAATATAACCGATGACAATTAAGCCCAAGATGGGTTCAAACATCAGCAATTAGTTTTTGTGAAAAAGGTATTTAATATTAGCCCTTGTTATACATACATTTGTACATATCCCTCATTGCCCGCAAACATTTCTGAGCGTTCAGAATATATAAGTGCGAAAGGAGTCCTAGGTGGTAAGAAATATGAGTTTCAAAAACAAAAAATGTTTACTCTTATATGAATCTTTTAGGATTCATATATGATGTAAGTATGTATGTATGTTATTTGAAAGAAATTTTTGCTGAATGCCTTTGCAAATGTAATGCATTCCATAAGACTCAAAGAACAGCCTAAAAGCAGAGTCCGAATGTAGTAATTTATGAGGCCGATAAGAGCTTCAAAAAGAGTCTGAAATGATCCATATAGGTATGAGGCCAAAAATTGTTTTAAAGAGTCCAAAATGAGCCGTACATGAGGCCAATAAGACTCCAATATGACTCATATTGAGGCTCATTTGATGTATGAATTTAAGCTCATATACATACATACATAAGGCGACCTTCGGAGGAAGGCAATCACCCTCATATCGGACACCTAAATGAGCTCATTATGAGCGTAAAGGCTCCGAAATAGGAGTCCATTTACGACTCCAAATGTTTGCTGGGTTTACTTCAATAGTCATAATCCAAAAAAAAATTAAAATATTGGATTAAGTATGCAAAAATTACCGCTCTTCTTACATTAAGATCGACCTATCTCGGTAGCCTGTGATAGGGCGTTTGCATGACTACAAAAAATCAATTGTAGCCTTTAACGTTACTCAATTTTTTTAAGGGCTGTGCTCTCTGCGCGGATGCTACCTGTGACCATTACAGAAATACACTCGTAGGTCTGCCAACGCGCCTGCCGAGGGGCGGCGGCTGTTAGAAAAAACTTTTTTAAAATTAACATATAGCCGGACCAAGGATTGAACCCAGCACCTACGGAAAGGGTGTACGCACCTCTAACCACTCAGCCACATGTACCACTAAATCTATACTAACTAAAAACAAGTGCGATGTATATACGTGTTCGGTTAATTTATGTTAATATTCATTACCAGCACTAAATGATCTGCAATTTGCCAGTATTTCACTGTTGTTACTTTCATAGCGAGTCATTATAGCGTGCATCTCTTCATAGTAGTCCCAAACTGAAGGCATTCCAGATTTTACTAGTTTTCTTTCCTTTCTGCAAATATTCGAAAATTGTATTCATTCGAAAGTAAATTTGTTATAAACCGGCTACCGGTAGCGGGCGACCATATTTTGCATTTTCGTCTTTATATCCCTCATATTGTAATAGTAGTCCATTAATTCCATCTCTGCAACCATCTCTATTAAGACATGGTGGTTCTTCTTGAAGGCGCGAAGTTTGTCCACCTTCTCCTCCCATATTTGCAGTAATGCCTTTTCACCGCCTTCTTCCCATCTATTGCGTCGTCTCTTACCTTTCAGAAAATTTAATAAATACCTTGTTTTGGAAATTATAAAATAGACATATATCCTTACCGCTACTGTTTTCCATCTCTGTTTTGGGTTAATTACAATTTCAATAAACTAATTAAAATATCGCAATTAACTCCTAATTGATCAATTTAAATTGTTGTGTAAACGAGAGCTTAACTTTTTTGCTATTACTTTTAGAGATGAGAAATAAACTTCCGATATAGAATAATCGATTATTAAAGTCGATAATTAGGATCGTAGTTCGTTTAATTTATCATGTTTTAAATATTAGGGGTCTTCATATAAAGCGATAAAGGGATAAATTGCTTAAATTTTCAGTTCATCTGCTTTCTTTCATGAACGCACCTTGGTAGATAATTCCATAAAATTGTTTATTACACGATGACGTTACGATAAACGCTCGTATTAGAGCCAATTACGATAAACGCTCGTATTAGAGCCAATTTACACGACGACTTTTCACCCTGCGTTTTTGGCACGTTCCCTTTTAAAAAAGTCTTCGAAAATCCTCGTGCAAGATACCTTTTTTCTTTGCGGCGTTTCTTGCGTATTTTTGACATTTAAACGTCAAATTTTCTTTGGTCAACTCTTTCGTCCTCAATTTTAAAGCGGAGCAAATCTCGAACTCAAAGCAAAAATACGAAAAAGTGAACTCGATAAAAGCGAAAAGTCAAAAAAACCCCTCGATTTCGCTGCTTGCCTACCCCGCTGACTTCGCTACACTTCTTGCCAACAAGCTCGACACGCATGACTTTCCACCCAGGGTGAAAAGTCATCGTGTAATTTGGCTCTTATCCTTTCCATACGCCCGAAAGATGTATTGTTGTGAATGAGTGTGGTTTTTGTTCACATTTATCGGATCTCATTCGACAAGACCGACTCGTAATAGAGAATAACAGAATGCAAGCGGTTATCGTGCATCGTACGAATTCATAATAGGGGGAGCTATATGGCTAGTAACGTTTCACAAGTAATGTGTGAGATTAAATTGAAAGGTAAAACTGATTGTGTGTCGTCAGCGTAAATGCAGCTTAAAGCGAAGCGCACATTGGCGCGATTCTGTCGTTGGGAATCCGCAAGCCCAAAAATTACAACAATGCTACCCATACATTTTAATGCGCTAGCGCACACTTGCACGATTCCGTCGCTGCGAATTTTTCGAACATTCAATGTTCTTCTCTATTGACGCGTTCGAAACGCGGCTTGCAGCGTTTTGAAGGCGTCAAAGAAGAAGAAGAAAGGTGTCACAGCAATAAAGGCAAAGAAAAAAAAACGTGTAATGTACAAAAACTAATAAAAACGTTCGTAATAATAGTATTTTGTACGATTTGGGCACGCCGAGTGCGAAAATACACGAAATACAGGGAAAATTGAGTGAATTGTACATCGGAAATCGACGCGAAAAAATCGCTCAAGTGTGCGCACGTTTGCGGATTCGAAGTTAACAGCCGAATTCGCACCGTATTCGCAACGACAGAATCGCGCCAATGTGCGCTTCGCTTTAGTCTGCGCTTATTCATGGAAATTTTGGTCGAGGCGATTTTTCATATTCCCTTTTGGTGTTGCTCGTTTGATTTGCACACGGCGACTTTTTTTTATGCAATTCTTGTTGTCATGATTCAATGGCTGCGTTTCTTTATACATTCCGGATAATCCCATTTCACAGCCGGAATAAACAGAATACGTTTCAAATATACGTTAACATATCACCAGAACGTTCTAAAGAAAAGGTAAACAAAAGTTTATTCCAAACGTTCAGAATAAATAAAGGAATGCAGCCGATAATACATGGTTAGATAATTATTGACAGCTGCGGCTTGACACTCCCTTACAAAAGGTTACATTTACGAAGGACGGAGATATGGGAAGTATAAAATCCCTTGGTGCGAAAATGGTAGTAGAAAAGTACGCAAAGTAGGTAATTAGTAGTGAAATTCCTTTTGTAAAACCTAACGCATTTGTAGGAAATCTGGCATTTTAAGCGAAATATTAATCTGTCTTATTCTGAGTTTCGCCTGAAAAAAAATTCACCCGAAAATCATGGAAACCAAAAGTGAAAAGTGAACCGGTTCAGGGAAAATGAAACTCATGATAAGGCTGAATATATATAAATGTATTACGTTATTTATGTGCTATTTAGCTGCATAAAAACTGCAAAAGGACTCAAAACTAAAACAAAATTACTATTAGATTTATGTAAACATCCAATTTAAAAACAATTTATATTTTCATCAGTTAAATGTGCTTCATACGCATATACAAATAAACATATTGCACAAAAGCTTATTCTTCTATTTCTCAGCAAAGATACACTTTTTCAAAGTAAATTTGCAAAGAAGCGACACGGTGCCACTGCTTAAAGGCCCTACACACGGATCGATTTATCGGCCAAGCAGTTGGCCAACTGCTAGAAGTTGGTGGTAAATAAGCCGTGTGTAGGCAAGTTGGCAAACCTTCGTCAAGTTGTTCGTCAGGTTGGAGAAAATCAAAAGTTTTTGATTTTTGAGGCAGGTTGGTCAACTTGTTGCTCTGTGTGTATACAAGTTGGTAGCTTAAAATGCGATTTCATTTTTTTTTAAGGGCACATTAACGTTAACATGTGTTTTTCGGTTCTTTTCGCTGGTGAAAATGCGTATAATTTGTGAAAACGGGGGCGGTAGCAGTAATAAATACATAAAAATGAGCAGCTTTCCTGGCATAGCTTAAAAGTTTACCGGTGCTGTTGTGTTCACAGTTCAAAAACAGTCACTCAAATGAAATCGGCAAACTGGTTGGTGCGTTGAGTTTCGTTAAGTAGGTTGGTCAACTGATTGGCCGATAAATCAATGCGTGTGTAGGGCCTTTTATTGAATCATGTCTTGTTGTCAGCTGTGAACCGCTAAAGGCCCAGTTATACATACTTAGGGCCGGTTACTCAATGTCTGGTTAACACTATTCTGCGGTTAAACATCGTTATCGACGTCTTCGACTCCATGCATACAACAGGGAGTCGGTAACGTCGATAACGATGTTTAACCGCAGATTAGTGTTAACCAGACATTGAGTAACCGGCCCTTAGTATTGCATGAGAGTCATCACATAGGGAATCTGTTAAATGAGCTTTGCGTGTAAGCGGTTACCCAATGCACAGCATTACATATGTAGAAGTCTGTTGATTTTTGGATTCTACGTAAAATGACATGCTATGCCGTGCAGTGGAAAGTATGCATAACTGAGCCTTAACTCAATTTATAGAGACGAATGAGAGCACAAAGCGTGTTGCTCGAGCACAAGCAAATTGGTGCCCCTCTCCTTTCCTCGTCACGCTCTCTGGCACACAAGTCGAGTTGCCGCAATAAAAATCGCCGTGTGTAACGACAGCATCGCCCAATTCGTCGAAGTTTGCCGTGCGCCAGTACTGTATTTCAAGCAAAACGTAGAATAACGTGAACCAGAACTGCATTTTTATGTAAATTTGGTTTAAGTACTAGCGTTTTCAGGATTTAACAGTTCATTATAATTTACGGTGTAATAAAACAACCCTATAAACATTTTGGCGAACGTTCGAAAATGACGGAATCCTGTCGAAATCCCCACTTTTGTAAGACAAACAAACCGTTAGATATTAAAAATTTCAACCCTGTAGACTTTTTCACTTGAAATGTCCAAATTATCTACTTAAACAAACGCATGCAAACACACACACTAAATAGCAAATGTCAACGAAATCCAAAGAAAACGCGGTGGAAACAATTACGGATCTCCATAGCATGCATATACGTATGCGTGCGTTTGACAGAAAAATTGAATATAAAAATTTTTATGGCATCACCTAGAAAATTGTATGAATTTTGATTTCTAAGCGTAAATGTCAAACACACGCATACGGATACGCATGCTATAGCTTGATATGCAGTTCAATACGAGCGTAAGCGTGAACGTATTTTGGCTGAATTTCTTTATTCATTCTGAACGTTTGGAATAATCTTTTTTGTTTACTTATTCTTTAGAACGTTCCTGATGATATGTTAACGTATATTTCAAACACATTCTGTTTATTCTGGCTGTGAAATGAGATTATCCGGAATGTATAAAGAAACGTAGCCTTTAATTCTCTATCTTTTGATGTATCAACTATTGCAAAAAGTTAAGTAATAACGAAGATATTGGTCAAAATAAAAAGCTCACGCTCACGCTCACATTGAACACTATAGCAGGCTTATGGAGGTCCGCCTTTAGAGATTACATTCCGAAATTGGAAAATATACAAAATAGCACATGTTCTGAGATGTGGCACTGGCAACAATGTTTCGGATACTCGAAAGTGCTCCCGGATCTAGGAATTCACTCACTTGCAAAGTATTCGTGTATATTTTCCATTATAGGATATGAAAAATAGTATATTAACTTTACCAAATTTTTTTGGTTTTAAGGCATTGCTTCCTTAATTGCAAAGTACTTAATTAATTAACCCAATGTTTGATTGATGTTTGATGCGTATGCAACATAATTAAATGTCTGGCAAGGCGGTGTGGAAATGTGAGGGAATTTCTCACCCCGCTTGATGGGATAAAGTCATAAAAGTTTGCTGTGAATCAGAATAAATTTATAATTTGCGTATANTTCACGCTCACGCTCCCATTGAACACTATAGCAGGCTTATGGAGGTCCGCCTTTAGAGATTACATTCCGAAATTGGAAAATATACAAAATAGCACATGTTCTGAGATGTGCCACTGGCAACACTGTTTCGGATACTCGAAAGTGCTCCCGGATCTAGGAATTCACTCACTTGCAAAGTATTCGTGTATATTTTCCATTATAGGATATGAAAAATAGTATATTAACTTTACCAAATTTTTTTGGTTTTAAGGCATTGCTTCCTTAATTGCAAAGTACTTAATTAATTAACCCAATGTTTGATTGATGTTTGATGCGTATGCAACATAATTAAATGTCTGGCAAGGCGGTGTGGAAATGTGAGGGAATTTCTCACCCCGCTTGATGGGATAAAGTCATAAAAGTTTGCTGTGAATCAGAATAAATTTATAATTTGCGTATAAAGTAGAGCGACAAAAGACTTATTAAAAAAAGGCTCCAAGCCGTTTATAAAAAGTGAGGTCTAGCAATTGACTTGAAAAGCTTCACATCAAAAAATTTGTCGTCAGCTATCAAGGAGTGCACTTGGAAAAAAAGATATTTTTTGGACAAAAGAAAGACTGAAAATAAGTG